ATTGTCTGTCCGAACACTTTTGACTCGATTTCCAGTCGTTGTTTCGACTGCAACTATCTGTTCTTTGATTTTAATGTCCACTTCTGATTTGCATTTTAAGAAATGTACATACCGAAAACTACCCGATTCATCCTTGATAACGAACAGCCATCGATATCCTCCCACTGACGTAATATTCATCGGACCGACGATGTCCGCGTGGAGTCTTTCACCTGGTAAACACTGTCGTCTGTCTTTTGATGGATGAGAAATGCGATGCATTTTACCAACTGCACAGTCTGCACAGAAAAACTTCTCATCACTGTATGAAACACCTTCCACTGCACCTTTATTAACCATTGATTTGATTGTTTTCACATTGATATGTCCAAGTCTCTGATGCCACCGACGAAGTGGCACTTTCACTGCACTATAAGCAACACTGTCTTTCACATTGTTCATTGGGATTTCAACTTGCAAACTTGAGAGTACCCTTGAGAGTACCTTTCTCCCACCGCTCTCCGTCCCATCTCGAAACTCGTATTACACTAATACCAAGTATAGGTAAACGCACACCATTAGCAATAAGCACTGACCGACCTGTAGGCACAGAACAATACCCTGAAAACCACTTGCGCCTACTGGTCATGTGCTGTGACGCACCAGAATCAACGTACCAAACATCTCGCACTTCTGCCATTCTAATTTCACTGGGAATCGCGACGAATGCTACCGATTGTCCTCTACTAATAATTGTATTATTCTCTGGACATTCACGTTGCCGGTGTCCTTTCTTCCTGCATATATGACACGTCTCTTTCTTTTGCTCAGCAACAGATTTGAAACCACTTTTATTTGTAGGATTCTTTCCAGGTATATTCACACCCGACTTTCGACCACCAATATGATGTTTACGAGCTACGAAGGCCGCTCCTGTGGTCTCTGTCTTATTATTTTTATTTAATTGATCTTCCTCTTGACGTAAACGAGCCAACAAGCTGTTGAGGTCATGCCCCTCTTTGATGTTGTACCAAACCGTTTTAAAATTTTGAAAACGAGGCGTCAGACTACTCACAATTCGAGACATTTTGATATTGTCCGACAATTTTTCTCCTTGATTCTCAATTTCACTCACCAACTTCGTTATTTGAGCTACATACGATGTAACTGATTGATCGTCTCTCATACGAAGTCTGAAATATTCTTCATATAGCATCATAACGCTCACTTCACTTCTCTTCGCATGGATCGCAGTGAGCTGCTCCATTATTTCCTTCGGAGTTCTGCATGATAGAACACAATCTGCTTGTTCTTTCTCCAATGATGCTATCAAAATGGACTTTGCCCTTCCATCATCTTTTTTTGAAAACAGCTTTTTCTTCCGCTGTAGCATTCTCTGGCAAAACTTTCGTTAATTGTTCCTCCAAACCTTTTCCTTCAAGCACTGCATCTGTCTGATATTTCCATAGTTTGTAATTATTTTCACTCAGTTTATGCAACAACAACGTTTGGTTTGATTCTGACATTTTTAACACTGATTAACAAACGATTTATTGTTGACTTAAAAAACAAATCGCCTGTAACCGTCAACCAACAAAACACTCGACCGAGAGACCAGCGTCTATACACTCAACCGTGCGTGGCTTCTCAATACACAATTGGCACTATACGCCAAACGAACTCCGGTTACGCTCAACAATAGTTTAAAAAAAAAAACTTAACTATGATCATCCGAACACACTACAACTTCAACTTGAACAACAACTGCACCCTGGGTCCATAACCTGTTAGAGAGCAAGGCTGTTGAAGTAAAAACACAGTGGAAATGGTTAAACTGATTTAATAATATGAACGGAGATCATTGCCTAGTGGCGATACATTTGCGACTGACTCGACCTGAGCATTTCGGTAATCCGATGCGAATACAAGAGCCGTTGACACGGGAATATACAAGTGTATATAAATGTATTTGTGCTCGTACGTATACAGCGCTGATCATCAACATATAAAAAGCTCATGACAGTATTATGTAACTTGATAAGCGATGATGCTTCAACTTGATTATGAAGGCATTAAAATATACTTTTCATGCCCTGATTTAATTGATATTACTGATGATTCCTTCAGTAATCATGAAAACGTTTTTCTCTGACAAATTGCATAAACAATGTGCTATAACTCAGCAACGAATTGTGCGACCTCCATCATATTCTAATAGAATCGAGAGATTGTTATCGTTCTTTGTCACTTATTTATTGTTATCATTTTTTGGAGCCATGACTAATTCTATTTTCATTACAATTTTTTAAATGATCGTTAAAAAATGGATTTTTGGTAAAATATCAATTTTTTAGAATCTACATGAAAAATTGCACTTTAATCGGTGTTAATGCATAGAATTATTAAAGTCTATACTCGTGAAAAAATTCATGAAATCGATCCTTTATAAGGAAATTTCGAGAAATAAAATAAAGAAAAAAGACCATATACATAAATGCATACATACAGATACCATCTAAAAATCGCATTTCGGACTTTTTAGACCATATTTAGTTACCCTAATACAAATAATTGGAAATACATTTGAGTGATTACAAAACTTTCATGCGGAAACAAAAAAAATCGGTTTGCATCAAGTCGGACTGAATTATCCCGGGAATCAACTTATTCCATGCCGGATTGACGGCATGAATTAAATGTGACTTGGAGAAATGCAAACTGTCACATCGATCTCATTCAAGTCGATTTTTCGACTTGATTGAATGTTCGGCTCAAGGGGAGAATACTATGAGTTTTAAGTCGCGGGCTATTGGAATGAGATTTCTCACAGATTAAAGATCGATTATATATGTCTAAAAACTAATAATTAGTGCAAAAAAACTGACTGTTCATTGTTTGTTTGCGCCAAGACGCTTAAAAGGTTAAAAATAGTTCTCCGGTTTTCGAGCTACAGAGGGTTTTTCTCAAAATTTTTGAAAAAATGTGTGCAATAACAATTACGAATTTTTTTTTTCAATGCACCTTCTACACAGCTAACTTCGTTTTTTTAAATAAAAAATGACATCATTCATGTAAACTCGCCCGAAAAATGTTTCTGAAAGAATCGAAAATATATTTTACATATTTTAAGGATAAGTTTTCTGCCTATTGAACATGAATGGCGCAAATTTTTATATTAAACAAAACGAAATTAACTGTGTAGGAGTCGAATTTCAAAAAACTAATTGGTAATTGTTATTGTACACATTTTTTTAAAAATTTTGAAAAAAAACCTCTGTAGCTTAAAAATTGGAGGCTTTAGACCATTTTTAACATTTTAAGCGTCTGCGGGGCAAACGAAGAATAAACAATTAATTTTTTGTAGCGGTTAGGTGCGGGTAGAGAAATAAAGACTGGTGGTTGAAATAAGAAAGGCGTTTGTATTTAGTACGTAAGATGTGTTTACAATCAAGGCTCAAATCGAATTGAATCTTTTAATCGGGAGCATGAGAGTTTAAATACCTTTTATTATGGCAATTGGGAGAATTGTCCATAAATTTCGTGAGGGACAAGGATAGCTTGATGTTTGTTTTGAATCTAACAAAATACAGAATATTCAAGACGCTTTATATGAAATTCGGAATAATAATTGATTGTGGCTCGCGCCACATTTTCTTGCACTAATTATTCGTTTTTAGACATATATAATCAATCGATGTATGAGAAATCTCATTTCAATAGCCGGCGGACTTTTAAAACTCACAATAATCTTTGAATCCTCTGACGTGAATGGGCATTTCCACCAGTCTACGCACTTTCCGTAAGGATTGCCCGTCTTCACTTCGCCGGACAAAGTACTACTCAGACCGACTTTCACCTTAGAGGGTTAATACATGTCGGTTTTTCGGCTTGACTCAAGTTGATTCTAGAGGGTTGTATATTAGGCAGGCCTACGGGAGAAGGAGGATGAATTTTAGGGTTCCGATTCCTGAAAAAGACGGCTAAAAAATCACCAGTCGATGCGAATTTTTTCGGATTTTTCAAATCAATTTTCATGTATGCACAACGAGTTCAAAGTTTGAAGAGAAAAGTTGTCCTAGTGACAGTCAACGTTCCTAAACCTCGGGCAGAAGTTAATGGTCCCAATGACGATCCTATGTCAGGTAGTGAAAATGGCTGCGGACGGCCCTCCAAGTCTGCTGTCCAGGTAGAACGCCCAGTGACTTGCATAGGACTGTCTCTGTTGCTCTCATAGCGAAGAGATCGCAGACAGCACTATACAAATCCTTGTGCTACACAGAGATGCTCGTAATTGGGCATGCCACGCAGAGTGATGTCCAGAATAAATGTAAATAAGTCAATAACTATGAGGCGCAGAGGCATAAATGAAAAATTATTGTCTTCATTATGGAACCATCCAAATTTTCTGTGTTGCATATTTCAATAACATCTCAATAGTTTTCGAGATGTTATGATGAAACGTGAGCGCCTCGAAAGGCTTTTTGTTAATAAACAAAAAGCACACCTTGGCTGAAGCTCACACTTGATCTATATATAATTCTGAGTATTTTTCAGCCTCTAAATTTCCAAATAAATACGAAAGTTCACAACGAAGGGTTTCCCGAGTCCAGGTTAATTTTCGAAAATAATTACTATTTAAATATTTCTGAATTAATGGAAAATTTCCAATACTATGCCAACATTTTATGAGGCGAAAATTTTAAATTATAATCCGATTTCGCTGAAGGGGGCGCACAAATGACTATCCTTCGGGGAATCTTAACGAATGGGACAAAATTTATGATATTTAAGGCGGTATTCTCTGAATCTTCATCCCTCGATCGCCCCCCACTACTTTGTACTTTTGACAATTTAATATTTTCCAACTAGTGATCAGTCAGAACGAGACTCTCTTAGAGACAGCATCGAAGGATTCTCCAGACTTCTGTTTCTGTGACCAGCTCAAGGTAGAAATCTTTGGTGTTTGTAAAAGTGTGTGAATAAAATTTTGAATCCACAGATAAGAGGTAAAAACATAAAAATGCCAACACGACAAGATTCGAAAATCACATTGATTGGTCATGGAACTGCAGAAATACAGGGGAACCAGTTACTTTCAAAGAGACAAGTTCTAGAGTTTCTTTTCTTATACGAGACACGCCACGCCAAAATTGACTATTCAAGAAGGTGCGAAGTGCGTTATTCGTAAGTGTGCCATATTTTGGGAATATGCAGAAGTACCAATGATAAAGGAGTGCAATGCGATTAATAAGTTGATGCAATTACGCACGACGGAAGTGAAACTTCTAGTATTCCTCTCTCTCTTTTTATTTCATTCTCTTTTTTTCTCTCTTAGGTTAGTTTGAAGATTATAGGTTAAATAATTCAACGACGAAGCATAGATTTTCTCTTTCTAATATTTTCTTATACATGAATGAAGTTCGATTTATGTACAGTTTCAAAAATTTTCAATTTATTTACAATTATCCAATACTATTTACAATTATTCAATTTATTTACAATTATTTAATATTACATAAACAACAATATTACAATTAAAAATTACAATTACAATTCACCAATCATGTGATATTTTCATTGTCACTTTCACGAATATTAATTCCTAATGTCGTGATAATTGGGTTATGGTAACTAAAGTGCGAGATATATACATTAGCACTCAAATCCTTAATGAATCGTGCAAAAACTGCATCGATTGTTGTCCCGTGTCTAGTCGTACATTAGTACGACTAGACATTAGTACGACTAGTTCCTATCATTAACAACATCCAAATTAAGGGTGTTTTTGAAAAAGTTCAATAACTCTACAGATTCATTCTTCGCGAAATTTACATTACAATCTCCCGAAATAATCATCGGAATTTCGTGATAATTCTTATTCAATAACCTTGAACCACTCTCTGTGTATGGCAAAAGTACATGGTGGATAAAATCTTTGATATCTGTAATCGATTTACCTGGTGAGATATAAATTGACACCATAATAATTTTTTTGCCATTAGCCAGAGAGCATTCTGCAGCACACAAGTCCCCAACGAAGGATGTATGGCTAGAAACGAATTCATGGTTACGAACATGAACATCATTATGTTTTACCACAACATGTTGGAGTCTATTAACATTTTTATATATATCTACACCGCCCGCTCTAACACCGGGTCTCTTGTATTGTACAATGCAATCAAAATTTTCAACATTAACATGTCTGTCATCGTCAAGCCAAGTTTCGGAAAGCATCAATATGTCCGAATTTTTTAGAACATTACCTCGTAAGTCTGTTGCATGCTTGTTAATACTTTGACAATTGAATGAAAATATCGTCATATCTCCTTTTTCAATTTTTTCTAACAGTACTAGATCGAGAGTTTTTAAACGTACCGTAGAAAGTCTCTCAAATTCTTTTCTTAATTGAGCTACTGATGTGTCTTCTCGTCGTCCGTGATGAAATNGTTCCTCCTTGCGATTTGTGAATAGTCATTGCGCATGCTGGCTTAAGTGGAAAATGGTTTCTCTTTGCTTGGATTTTACTGTGTGATTTAGTTTTGTATAATGGAAAGGTCGCTGACCTACAACTTATCGGAGTTGCTTCATTACTTATTCTTAGTCGAGTAGCATATTGAGCTGTTTTACTACGTGTCTGTCTTCCCACACCTTTTGATAAAATTAGCCAAACTGATAATTTTGTGGCTTTGATCATCTAACTCAACATACACCAATTTTCCGACTGGTCCATTCGCTAATCCGTCTGTTACATCGATATTCGTCGTGATTAAATATGGTTTGTTCAAAGCAAAAACGATCTGGTATGGCAGGCCACCAGTATCAATTGATGACAGTTGATGAGTTTTGAGTCTTGCAGCTCGTTCTTTTTCTAAATCATTACCACAACCGAGTATCTCGTCATCAGCAATCGAATCTTTTTTATTCTCACATGAGTTCAATACAGAAAGGTTGTAAGCATCGGCAGAATGATTATCAAAGTATAGTCTAACTCCGTTGGGACAAAGATTATGGGCATCCTCATTCGTAACAAACCTTGATTCAATGAGTTCCACGTATTCTGGACCATCATTNGTGACGCTCTCTGTATGCTTTACTACGTAGTGCAGCCCTTTTAGCTGGAGGTTTGGGAGGCTTTGATTCATTTTTCCGCTGTCTGTACTGCCTGCTGGCCTCTGCCCACTTTCGCCCTCGATGCTTGTTTGCACACGCTTCGGTTGTAGGAACGACATCCCTACATCATATTTCACTGTTAGTATAATCTCGCCAATATGTTAAACAATCCTATTATCCTATTACAACAACAATACTATTTTGTGAGATATTTATCAACTCTTCTTGGTTATATTTACCTTATGTTAATGTCATCACTGTGTGAATCAGACTCTCCTCTTCTTTGGTGATTTTCAGGGGATATTTCCTCTTGTGCCACGGATGTGTTTATCACTTCTATCTCGTCACTACTCATTTTTGACACTAAAATTCTGTTCCAAATCGAATAAACCACAACCAATTACGTATTTCACTCGTTGTATTACACTCACGGCGCAGTACACTAACCAAGCAGCTGATGCTTGGCGTGGTGTCGTTGGCTAGGGTCTGAGAGAGAGAGAGGAAAAGAGAGAAGAGAGAGAGAGAACGTTCGTCAGTGGCTCCCTCACCTCAGTAAGCGCATACGGTGAGAGAGCGACAGTGAACGGTGAGCGGTGGTGGGGGTCCCCAGGGGTCTGGTTACCCCCACCTCGCTATGGCGTTTTTTCGTGACGGTCTTGAGTCGGTTTTACTCCAGTCGTCGAAAATCCATGACGCGCGTAAAGAAGTTTCACTTCAAAAAAATACTTTTGATCATTATTTTATGTACCATATCGCGCTACGTATCCTGGCGTCTAAGGAACCTGAACCTCAATCTTTACCTTTTTCACGGGATTTGCTGAAGGTCTGGGTAGAAGGATGCGCAAATCCACCCAATTTGGGAGTTTCAAATGTTCAGAGCTCAACCTGGAATTACAGTATGTAGATTTGAGCGACATTATTTTCAAATGCTATCGGACACCATACTGGCCTCTACCTGAAGATAAGAATTTTCCACCTGTCGATCCATTACCTGGAATATTCATTGCAACAACCATGTTATAACCACACATCATCAGACCGGTAAGTCAGAGTAATTGTGCAAAGATACATACAATCATTCAAAATATACCTGAATGAATTCATTCGAGTTTTCGCAGTCGCGGGCTAGTGGAGTTAGACCTCTCATAAAGTCCCTGCACGAAAATGGTATTTGGTTCCAACCTGAAGTCTCCCCACTCCCATGTTAAAAGGTATAGCAAGTACGAATGGGGAGGTGGTGGGGGTGAATCCGAAGACCATTTTCTTGTGGCGAGAACTATACATTAAATAGTCCACTCAGCGGGCGAAAAAAATGGGGCTAGAGGTTGACTTTTCGGTAACAAGGGTACCGACTTTTTTTTTCAGAAGTCACCGAATTTGAATTTTTTTTTTCAAACTGCTCAGAATCAAATTCTGAAAACATGTGATCTGAAGCCAAGTTGGGCTTTTGATTATTATTATTTTTCAGTCACTTTAGATGCACATATCTCGGAAACTATTGAGAAATTATCGAGACATAACGCGCGTAAAAGACGCGGGATTTTCTAATGAATCAAATGGTTTTGCATTTTTTCGCTAAGTGAAATAGTTATCGAGATATCGATATTTGTTTACCGGAGCACGCTGAGAACGAAGTGCGTCTCTTTCTCACGCGGGAGCTTGAATAGTTGCATCCCTATCGCTCTTATGGCTAGCGCGTCGTCTCTCAATACTCTTCATCAGAGGAACAGAGAGGCCATCGTACAAGATTTCGCGTGGGACAAAGACGTACTGAGTTTGCAGCGCGTTATGATAAGCAAATATTGATATCTCGATAATTATTTCACTTAGCGGAAAAAGTCAAAGACCCTTTTATTCGTTAGAAAATCCCGTGTTTTTTGCCGCATCATATCTCGATAAGTTCTCAATAGTTTCCAAGATAGGGTGGATCGTCCAGTGTTCGAACGAATAAGCTCACAGTTATTTTCGACGTGTATTTGAAAATATAACAAATTCGAAAATGAATTGAAAAATGATCATAACTTCAATGTACATCCCCCAAGAAAACAGAAAAAATATCATGGATATTAATTGACGCTACAATTCATGATATGAATACAAAAAGATGAAAATGTGTGAAAACCCAGTAATCGAACATAATTCCCTAAAAACAAGAAATTGAAATTGCTGAGGGTGGGGCAAAGTGAAACGGTGAGGTAAAACGGATGTAATGGTTAATTATCACTGATGGAAGGACTTACTTGCGGTTAATACGGCTTCTCAACTATTAATAGCATTTGTAAACAGTTAACTAAGGGATTTAATAGTTAAGGAGCCTCGTTAATCTGTATAATTCGCACACAAACAACAAGTAACGAAAATTGTTGCATAATTTCTTTTTTACAGTCACTAGTCTGACAGTGCGCCGCAGCGCGAAGATACCAATGAGACACTGAGTCATGGTGTCATTCGGGATGTTTCGATATGGATATGGACACGGATGGTGCGACAACTTTCGATATAGTTCATTACAAAGTAACTACAATGGTCCACGTTCCGCTCTTAACTGTTAGATTTAGTGTCTATTACGCTTGAATACCAAATTTGTTGATATTGTTTTGGAATTTATGCACACACAATTTCAAAATAGGCAAAAATAATCTAATATCACTCATTCTCTCATTGCAAAAATGTTACAATTCCATTAAAATCAATAATGATATTAATATTATTCGTAACTGACTTTCCATTATTGTTATGTGCATTTATGGAGCAAAATATAGAAAAATCGAGCACATCCGCTAAATCCGCTAGGGAATTCCATTAGATTTCTATACGACTTCTATCGAATAATTGAATTTATTTTCACGGATTCTCTAAAAAAAACTTCACAGCTTTGATGGGCCTTTTTTCAATTGAAATGTGCAACTGAAAACATTTCATAGGGAAAACGATAGATTTATGTTTTTCTATAAAATTCATCCTGTTAGGATTGTTCCAATAGAAATTTCTTAGCATGAATTTTCGAGGTTTTTATTAAAAAACTTTTAATCCGGAAAGAAAAATGCAAGAAAGTTTATGCCCATGAATTTCCATGAATCATATCTCAATCGACTAAATTTGATAGAAAAATTGAAACCTATTAAACATTTATGTTTCAAAAAACCATGCAGGGAAATCCGAGGGATTACCAATAGAATCGGCCAAGGAAATAAACGGGTATGCGACAGAAGTCTATTAATTAAATCGATAGAGAACATTATCTCTCAATTTTTGAAAATCCGGCATGATTGATCATTTATTATTCGAAAATCATTCAATACTCAATAAAAAATAATCTGTCTTGACAAGAAGGGGAACTTTTTCGTCAATGGAGGCTTTTTCCTAATTCTGATAGAAACCCTAAAAAATAGAATAAGACCATGATGTAGACCAACTTATAGGGGATTAAGATACAAAACAAAAACATTTAGGATTGAATTTCATTTCTCCTGCTCGCTATCTCCCTTCCGGATCACGTCAATCGAGGAAAATCAAATAAACCTACTGCCATCTACTGGTCCATCGAAATTCACGGTAGAGTCATTTGCCGTGAATCTCTCAAAATAGGGTCTACCACCCCTTCTGAGTCATCGGGCCCGGCTCGTAAGAGAGGTCTAATAAGGCCCCATAAAAACCCGACCCTCCAAATTAATCTTCTACTACTGTCGATGTACTGTCGACCTTTCTACTTAGTTACTGTTGACAGTGGCAGGAAAGTGGCAAGGACAGTAGCAAGGCAGCAGGCCAGATTTTGGCTATCTGGGCATTTGACGATTGAATTCGGAATTATTGAAAAAAAGAGATCGAAATTTGGTGCCAGATCATGATCTATTTATTTGAGAAAATTGAAAATGAAAAATTTTCTCAGAACTTTTTTTAATAACTTCCACGATTATCAAACATCACAATTTATTAGTGGGCATAACTAGTGTATTAGGTGTGTGAATATGACTCCGCCCTTTCCCAACAGATGTCGTTTTTAGTATCGCTTACGTGCACTAATAAATGACAAGACTTGTATTCGATAGTACTTTATGTCAACTGTCAAACGCACTACGTGACATTTGGTTGAAGTGTAAGCAACAAGTGTTTTTACCTCCATGACAATGTCGGTTTTCGTTCCAAGTAAACATCATTTGCGGGAAGTGTTATTAGCCTATTATATTGCAAAGAAAAGTGTGGCGGAAATTCATTGTTTGCTTGTGGAGATTTACGATGAACATGCTCCATCTAATACAACTTGCAGGGAATGGTTTCGACGATTTCAAAACAATGATTTTGGCACTGAGGACAGAGAACATGGAAAACCACCAAACAAATTTGAAGATGCTGAATTGGAGGCATTATTGGCAGAGAATTCTTGTCAAACTCAATCAGAATTGGCTGCAGCATTAAATGTTGAACGATCAACTGTTGCAAAGCGTTTAAAAACAATAGGAATGGTTCAAAAAGTTCATAACTGGTTTCATATGAATTGAAAGAAAGAGACATGGAACGTCGAAAAACAATTTATGAAATTCTACTTCAAAGACAGAAAAGAAGAGGATGTCACAGGAGATGAAAAATGGATATATTATGAGAATCCTAAACCCCAAAAAGCTTATGTGAAGCCAGGTGAACCCGGCCCATCCCAGTCAAAAAGAAATATTCATAGTGCCAAGGTTATGCTCTGCATTTGGTGGGATCAGAGAGGTATTGTATATTATGAGTTGCTCGAACCCTCTCAAACTATTAATGAAGAAGTTTACTGACGACAACTAATGCGTTTGAAGCGAGCCATAGAAGGACAACGACCAGAATGGGTGAATAGGCACAGTAAATTAATTCTTCAACATGACAATGCCAATCCGTATACCGCCCAAGTTGTGAAAAGATATTTAGATGGACAGGACTGGGATGTGCTACTCCCCCCGCCATATTCACCAGACATAGCTCCTTCGGATTACCACTTATTCCGAACACTGCAGTCAGATCTTACGGGAGAACGGTTCACTTCATACGAAAGTATCAAAATTTAGCTTGATAATTGAATCAGCTCAAAAGATCAGGATTTCTTCAGGCAAGGAATACGTAAATTACTTGAAAGATGGGCGAATGTTGTAGCTGCAGATGGAGCATACTTTCAACAAACTTTTCTTTTATTTTCTAAACAAGCAAATGTGTTTTATTTGAACAAAAAAGGGCGGAGTCATATTTACACACCCAATATTTCTCCTTAACGAATGCTTGTATTGACTGATGAGAAAATATTGACAAGTCCGGACTCTTTTTCTATCAATACTCTTTTGCCTTATTCCCATCATTATCTCTCATCAATTTTTATTAATTTTTCCCATTTTGCAGTCGAGCCAAATAGGATTCTTGCAAATTATAATAATTACCAGTGGGACCAAGAAGATCTGGATGGACTCCTGTAACAATTGGACAGTCAAGAAAGCGATTGCGACTATGTATTCGATTTGCAGCCCAGCAAGGCGAAGAAAGTTTTTCGGCTGTCTCCGAACCTCACCGCCGCTTTGGATCGAGCAAAAGTCAGCGATCGTATGGCAGCACGTATCATAGCAGCCGCCCTCATAGTAGCCGGGATTTCTCTAGATGACGTTCATCTGAGCTGAGAAACTATCCGTCGAAGTAGAGGGATTCACCGGAAGAATGAGTAATGCCATTAAAAATCGGGTTAAGAATGGATGTTCCAGTTTCACCACTGTTCATTGGAATAGCAAACAATTGCCATCGACAGAGAACAAATGCGAAAAAATGGATCGACTCCCTGTTCTTAATTCGGGCATTGAAGGGGATCAATTACTTGGAGTTCCAAAACTAGAACGAGGAAGTGGTGAAGAGCAGGCAAATGCCATTTTCAAATGCCCGAAGGATTGGGAATATCTCGACGATATATGTGCCATGGTATTTGATACCACTGCTAGCAACACAGGCAGTACAAATGGTCCATGTGTCCTACTGGAGCAGTTATTAGCGAGGAATCTATTGCATCTTGCTTGTCGACATCATGTATTGGAACTACTGCTGAAATCTGCTTTTGAAGCTTCTATGAGGCCAACTTCTGGACCAAATATTCTTATTTTCAAAAGATTCCAAGGGCAATGGAAAAACATTGAGAAAGGAGAATTTTCACCAGGAGTCCAAGATGATGATGTAAAAACAGCAGTCAGGAATGATGCAGCAAACGCCCTGGCATTTGCTTACTCACGATTGAAGGTACGTTATGAAGAAAAATTCACAATACTCAATCCAAGGAAATAATTTTTTCAATCCATCGAAGAATTAAATAGACCTTTTCTCATTCATCTCTTAACAGACTGACAACATTAGGAAGGACTACAGAGAGTTTCTGGAACTGATGGTGATGTTCTTGAATGGAAATCTTCCAAATGGTAATCGATTCCGAGCGCTGGGTCCCACTCATCATGCTAGATGGATGGCGAAGGCAATTCACTCGTTGAAAACATTCCTATTAAGAGATCAATTTCATATGACATCTCAGGAAATATCAGGTTTGAAAAGAATTTGTATTTTTATCGTTCTTCTGTATCAAAAGAGTTGGTTCACAGCATCAAATGCAATTGAAGCTCTCAAAAATGATTTAGAACTATTGAAAAAATTAGTAACTGATCATAGTTCTACGTTGTCACGAGTCTACAATGCGGTATTTGAGAAGTTTGGGAACCATCCCTGGTACTTATCAGAATTGATCGCTTTCTCTTTTTTCGATGAAAATTTGAGTGTAGAGTGCAAGAAAAAGATGTACGAAGCTCGTGTCCTGCACTCAAAAATGATCGAAAAAAGAGAAAATCAGGAATGACAGATCTTAAATTTATCAGAGAGGCGAGTTTGGATCAATTGGTAACTCAAAATACCGTTACCTTCTTTAAGATTTTGAACTTCAAACATGATTTCCTGAATGCTGACCCTACGAAATGGATAAATTGTGAAGATTATATTGAGGCTTCAAAAGTTGTGAGATCACTTCTTGTTACAAATGATGTGGCTGAAAGAAGTGTGGCTCTCATGAGCGAATACAATACTTTGCTCACAAAAGATGAAGATAATAACCAGGATGTGATGCAAGTGGTGAAAAAATTACGGGAGTTGACACCTGCTTGCCCACGAGAAAGCTTGAAGTTTTCATTAGAAAACTATTTGAACAAATCATCGATTGAAAATGGGAGTGATCTTCAATAATTCATCGAAAAATGGCAATGCATCGAACGATTCCAATCTCATTTTCATTACCATATTAAAATGAGGGCAAAAATATTAAAATCAACTTTTAAGCATTAGTCACGGACAGAAATTGTAAAAATAGTATAATGATAGTTAGAAGTCAGCAATTTTTTTCATTCAAATTTTGTTGAAATCTTTGTAAACTAATTGATTCAATAATGTAAATTTTGCAATGAAAATGTGAATAATTATATTTTCATGTCTCACTATATAATATAAAAAAATAATAGGGAAAATTCAGGGGACCCAAAAATTCAGGCGACGCTTAATATAAGGATCAGGAATGAGGGTCAGGTATAAGAATCAGGGACAAGGGTCAGGGACAAGAATCAGATATAAGGGTCAGGAACAAGGGTTATGGGGATATAAAGGTCATAAATGTCATGGGGAGGTAAGGTTCACAAGAGTTATGGGGATATTAAGAGTCCTTTCTGATATTAAGGGCCAAAACAAGGGTCACGCTAAGGGTCAAAATAATGTTCACAGTAAAAAAGAGTAGGGTTGCCTAACGCTAACAAATTTTCAGGGTTCATAAGGGTCACAAGGGTCATGGGGTTGCTAAGGGTCATAAGGGTCATGAAGTTGCTAAGGGTCATAAGGGTTATAGTGTTGCTAAGGGTCATAAGGGTTATGGGGATATAAGGGTCATAAATGTCATGGGGATGTAAGGTTCATAAGGGTTATGGGGATATTAAGGGTCCCTTGGGATATTAAGGGTTAAAACAAGGGTCACGCTAAGGGTCATAAGGCTTATAAGGGTCAAAATAATGGTCACAATAAAAAAAGTGTTGCCTAACGCTAAAAAATTTTCAGGGGACATAAGGGTCACGAGGGTCACAAGGGTTATGAGGTTGCTAAGGGTCATAAGGGTCATGGGGTTGCTAAGGGTCATAAATGTCATGGGGATGTATGGGTCATAAAGGTTATGTCTAACCTTAAAAAACAGAAATAAATGTTTTTGTAAAAAAACTGCGCCAAGAAAAAGTTGTTTGGTTTATACTGGAAAGTTGAAATTTTTGAAAAATACAAAGAAATAACGAAAGCCAAGTCAGGAATGTCAAATAAATGGGTATAGTACACAATCAGAATTCTATAAGAAAAATGGATCTCAATAAAAAAAGAATTTTTAAAAAATTATCCATAACAAAAAATCAGTAGGGGCAGGACCAACGTCCTTGGTGCTGATCAGCAGATGGAGGATTAGATTCATATAGACAGCGAGTAGAAAAAATCCGCGCCAAAAACGTTGGTCCGGCCCCTACTGATTTTTTATGTTATGGAGAATTTTAAAAAAATCCTTTTTTTATGGAGATCCATTTTTCTTACAGAAATCTGATTGAGTACTATTATATCCATTTATTTGACATTCCTGACTTGGCTTTCGTTTTTATTTCTTTGTATTTTTCAAAAATTTCAACTTTCCAGTAAAAACCAAACAAACCTTTTTCTTGGCCCAGTTATTTTACAAAAACATTTGTTTTTGAGGGACATTTCACTCATTTTTTCAAATTGAGCACAAAATTATTTTCATATCATGAGGAAGTTGTTCTCTCCAAATCAACTCATTTGTTTTTTCACAAGAAATTTACTGTTGAACATAGTAAAAATTGCGAGGCGGTATAGTAGAAAGTGGTTGAAAAAAAGTAAAATTTAATTTGTCACGAGTAAAAATTCGTTTAAGATAAATCAAATTTTAAAATTGTTTCGGTATGGTCCTCGATTACTATGTTCACATTGTAATTTTTAATTTTATATTCTCTCCTTGTGGAAGAAAATTATATGCAAAATGACCATTCAGAAGCATATTGCTAATTTATTAACAAAAATAACTATAGAATACGGAGACAAAAACAATTCCCCACTTGTTTTTTTTGTTGAAGATATTACTAATTTTTTAAAAATAATCACAAAATTGTTTTCGTGTTCTTCGTATCTCACCGTAACCTAATTTATAACATTTTTTCCCACGGAATTGGGAACACTTTCTGTTATCCCTCAAAGAAAAATATATGACCTTCAGCCGTCTGTTAGGTAATTCACGGATGCCTTTCGCAGAGAAAGTTTCATCTTGCGAGGCGAGGAAATTATCGACCCATTTTTGCACTCTTTCAAATGTTTTGAATCACACATCAGTTAATTCGTTTTGCATCTTCCGAAACAAGTGAGAATCAGTTGGAGCTAAGTTTGGTGAATACGCCGGGTGTGGCACAACTTCCCATCTAAGAGCCATTAATGTATCTTCGATTCGTTTACCCACTTGAGGCCTGGCGTTGTCATGGAGCAATTTTACTGGACGTTTTCCTTTGCCAGTAAATGGACGTTTTTGTTCATTTTCTCTTTCAATCTTATTAATTGTTGACGATAGCGATCGGCAGTAACTGTCTCGCCAGACTTCAAAAGTTCATAATACAGTACGCCTTTCATATCCTACCATATACACAGCATGATCTTCACTGTGATTCACTGTAAAGTGAATATTGCGCTTCGGTGTCGATGTCGTCGGCTCGCCGGGGTTAACCCAATGATATTTGCTTTTTGGATTATCAAAATAAAACCACTTTTCATCGCCGGTCACAATTTTCGCCAAAAAAGACTTTCCATGTTGCTTATTGTAAAGATTCAGACATATGTCAAGTCGGCTATGTGTATTTTCTTGAGTCAAAAAGTGTGCCACTTTGTTTCTTTTCGAATCTTTCCCATTGCGTTTAAGCGATAGGAAACGGTCCGTTAAGTTACTCCAAGCTGTTTTGCAAGTTGTTTTTCCGTCTGGCAAGAGTATTCATCCAGCAACGCTTGCAGTTCCTGGTCATTCACCCTTACAGGGGCCCCGGTACGTTCACGGTCACTAACGTCGAAATCACCTTATTTAAATCGCTTATACCAATACTCACATGTACTTTTAGATACAATATTTTCCCCAAGAACAGAACAAATCGATTGACATGCTTTCCTAACAGTTTTCCCTTGATGGAATTCATAGCGAATGCAGTGTCTAATAAATAGCTTATCGGTCTGCATGTTTTATTCACAGAATTTAAGGTTACGTTTATGACTCCCTTATGTTTTGATACTACATAACAAACCCCACCATATCATATGTAAGCGGTAGCTTTGAATTACTTTCATGACACGGAATCGAAGTGTCCTAAAATTTATTTGCACACCTGATAGCATTTCTGTCAGTTTCCAAGCATAAATCATAACCTCACAAACTATCTTTATTTCCGAGGTCCGGATATAGATATGACGAGAAGAAATCTGAATTTTCGACGAAAGAAAAAAAATAGAACACAGAGTTGATTTTTCGTTTTACTCTAATGAGTGATTCAAAGTGAGAAAAAAACACTCCCGTAATTATCCACGCTGATTATCCAATAGATCCAATAGATCTCTATTCTCCATGGTTGTCCATAACGACATCACAACACACATTTAAACGCATTGGTGGCAACACTCCGACGTTCGACGTGAGGCTCAGTTGGACCGACGCTGCCAACGTCGTAAACAAAAACTCACACTTTATGATGTAAATCGCAAGAATGTGAATGTCAAAACGGTGCTAACCGCGTATCTTCAGCATTGTTAATCCAAATAACACAACAGTTACACCACTGAAAATGACGGTTTTTCGATTTGTCTTCCCGTTCTCATAATATTAAATGGAGATGATATAGAGGCAGTGAAAGGGGAAGTGACATCGTGTATAGATACGCGGTGTGCTCGGCCTGATATCAAAACTTTTTTCGGCCGAGACGCTCCCGCATATCTCGATATAAATGGAGTCTTAGAATATATATGAATGGATGGAAAATATGGAGTGGTTGTGCCTCACTGGACAGGCGTTGTATGGAGCCTGATCCCCTTCCCTTTAGGGGGGGGGGGAGAAATACATACAGAAATAGGAATTTTGAGTGGTTTGAGTGGATTATTCTATTTGATGGCCAATGAATGTATTTCACAATAGAATTTTAACAATGAAAGTATTGAACAAACCCCCATGGTCATACCCGCATAGCCACACAGGAGGAGGGGGGGGGGAGCGAGCGGGTGTAGGAATTGAGGTGTTGTCGGGAAGGTAATAATCCACTAACAAATGCAATTAAACTAATAATTACAAATTTATTATCCGCGCCAAATTAATATAAAGGTAAAGAGAAAATAATATGATCCGATGAAGTGTGCGATAAGAGCTGAACTCTTAGACTGAATTATATTCGCACGGAAAGGTGTCAGCGAGGCTGCCGAATATTCTTCCGATTTGACAAGTCAGAAAAGAATGCGCGTGGCACGGAAGGTTCGAGGGACACGGCAAATGCCTGTGCTCGTCGTTAGCCAGTGTTCGCGTTTTAGGATGTNTAATAATCCACTAACAAATGCAATTAAACTAATAATTACAAATTTATTATCCGCGCCAAATTAATATAAAGGTAAAGAGAAAATAATATGATCCGATGAAGTGTGCGATAAGAGCTGAACTCTTAGACTGAATTATATTCGCACGGAAAGGTGTCAGCGAGGCTGCCGAATATTCTTCCGATTTGACAAGTCAGAAAAGAATGCGCGTGGCACGGAAGGTTCGAGGGACACGGCAAATGCCTGTGCTCGTCGTTAGCCAGTGTTCGCGTTTTAGGATGTAGCGAGGCGCTACATGACTCCGCTGTTTGAAGTAAGAAAACACAGTTTTTTTGAATCTGCAACAGAAAATAATTATTCTAGGAACAGGAAAGGTTGTCAGGTTTGGCAAGTAGGTGAACAAAAAAATTTTGAATGAGGAGACTTAGACGTGGTAGACGTGAATTGTCGGTCTGTTGGCGAGTGTTATGCTTCTCCTCCGTCTTCCAGCAGCGGGTGCCGTGCTCGTGCTCGGCTGCGGCTNGCTGTTTGAAGTAAGAAAACACAGTTTTTTTGAATCTGCAACAGAAAATAATTATTCTAGGAACAGGAAAGGTTGTCAGGTTTGGCAAGTAGGTGAACAAAAAAATTTTGAATGAGGAGACTTAGACGTGGTAGACGTGAATTGTCGGTCTGTTGGCGAGTGTTATGCTTCTCCTCCGTCTTCCAGCAGCGGGTGCCGTGCTCGTGCTCGGCTGCGGCTGGT